ATGCAGTGGTAGAGTCTAGAGACAAAAGCGCAAAAGGCAACCCTCTTCCTTCTAAGAGAAAAATTTCATAAAAGTTGCGCACCGCAAACACGTGCACTTGCCTTTGCGGGGAAGGCGATTTCAAGCAGGGCTGTAGTGGCAAAACGATGCATCCCAAAATACACGTCACTGGATTTCCACTTTGCCAAGGCATCGCCTTATTTCGCGTCGGTGGGTATTTCTACGCATCGATTCACGTCAAAGCAGCTCGCAGCGCGTTTCTGTTGTTGTATGTTGTTGTAGCGGAGTTGGTTTGATTGCTGTTGTGATAGCGCCTGCATGGTGGTGATTGCTCTGTTGTCGTCGATGTTGTCGTCGTCGTGGTGCATCGATCGGCCTCCACACTGGGGGATTCAGATCGCAGTGCGGATCGGATGTTGTAGCGGAGTTGGTTTCTTTGCGTGGTGTTTGGTAGTGTTTGGAGTTTGGAGTGCTTGTATGATACCTCGCAACTCTTGTACTTGTACCTTGTACCAGTATATTATACTAGCTCTTCTATTCTCCGCCACGGTGACCGGCGCCGAGCATAGATGGCACTGGCTTGCTGCGCTCGGCACGTGGATCTCGGGTGTAGCCCTGCACGATCAACTTTCGGGATGTGGATCTCTGGTGAAAAGGCCACAAACCCGTGTTCGACGTGGGTGTAGGTCCAAAGGTCAGTGCTCTATGCGTGGACCTCGGTTCTTCCACTTCAATCTGCATTCAGAGCAGAGCATTGACAGATTGGAGGAGGTGCTTTGATTTCGACCTCCCGATATCGTTCGAGAAACCATGCTTCACGCAGCCAGAATAAGCTGATGACACAACTTCACGACTGTGTTTCTCGCATGATCTAAATCTCGAATCCCCCATATCTCTCCCAAAAAGCGTTTTGTGAAGTTGTCCTTCCTCCAGATTCGATCATTGTCGGAAGCAAGTACTCAACTCCTCGGTTTCACTCGTACATCGAAGCCGAGCGTCGTTCTTCTGGATTGTTCGGGGCGGGACTTGGGTAAAGGCTTCAGGTGGTTCCTTTCGCTTCCATTGTGTAGGACACCTTGCAGCCTGCCCGAAAGCGAAGAGTGCATCGTTCTTCTCGTTCGTTGTTTGGCAGACAAGGTGTCAAGGGAGTCTTTCATCATCTGGATTTGAACCCCGGCATTTCTTGCATCAAGCGAAGACCTGCGCCGTTCTTGCACAACGCGTGGGGGGAGCAGCATTCAGCAGGAGGGGGGGGGGCAGTTTGGGTGGCCAGCCCCCCCGGACTTGCACACATCTTTGGGCTTCGTGCCTCAATAGTAATTGCATTAACAGCCTTGAACTAGTGGCAAGATCATATTGCCAAGACGGAGCGAGCTTCTGATAGCTAGATAGGCTAGATAGTATATAGCTAGCTAGGGGTTTCTAGCTGCAGCTGCTAGACAGCCGTTGAACAGATATTGTCAAAGCAGCACAAGAATAAGAAAAGATAAACGGGAAACCGGAACCAAGGAACAAAAAACAAAGCAGCTAACCAGTAGCTAGCCGAAGAGAGCTTTAAGAATAGTGGCCTGATACCTAAGTAAGTGGAGCCTAAGTGGTAGTTAGTAGCCACCAGCTGCAAGAAGCAATCGACGTAACACTTCCTGAAGCTCGTTCGCACCACTCCTAGTTTTACCCTGTCCTAACCCCTACTCCTGCCCTTGCCCTGACCTGGCCCTGGACCTACCAAAGCGAGGTCTACGCCTGCCCTAGTCGAAGGTTCAGATTAGTTCATTGACGGCACAATTGCACTTAAGTCGAAGTGCAGGGATACGCTGTTGTGTCTCTCCCCGAGTGGTGTAACTGACATGCCATGGCTCCGGGAAGGAGAAAAAAGGTGGAAAGTCTGTGACAGCTCAGTAACACTTTCGGCTTTTGGGTGTAGGCATCTTCTTGCGACTCAAGCTACCTTTCGGGAGGATGCAGGCGCAAGCAGCCTCTCCGAGCAGTTCGGCAGCCTCCAGCCCTTTCAGAAGGACAGCACCCGCATCAGATTGAAAGGGTTTGGGCCTTGCAAGTCGGTGCCTGAGCATCTCGCAAGGATGCCTGCCAAACGCCATCCTGGAGCGGAGAGGACGACTAAGCTGGCCGACGCATGTTGTTTTCAGAGGTGCAGAGACCAATGGAAGATAATGGGAGATTCTCTCTGCTTTGAGACCGAGGAAGCTCTTTAATTTTCAGGAACAAGGAGCATGCAACGTGGGGTCAGTTAGAGGCCTGGTGGTATGTCAGATGTGTGCACTAGAGTGTTTCCAGACGCGTGTTCGCTGGTTCGATCATCTTGTGTTACTCTCTCTGTCTTTTACTGCGCAACTAGTAACTAGGTACAGCCCCTGCCTGTCAAAGGCTGCGCAATTGCACACAACCGACTGAATGTGATGCTGCATTTTGTTTGGCATGTCTGGTGAAGCAACACGCCAGGCAGTCGCACAAAATGTGGCTGCAAAATGTGGCTGCATACATAGCCACTACAAAAACCAAGATCTTGAAGGGAGTTGGAAGGAGTCCGAACAGACATGTCCACATTGTGCCGTAAACTGGTGGTTGGTCATGGTCATTGTGAGTCATTGTAGTCTTTGGTAGATCCGTAAAGAAACGCTGCCCAGCACGATAGGACCACGCCGTCCCCAGCTGTGTCTGCTTCGCCACGAAGCTCGACCTCGAGCCCATTCCAAGCAAGGCCCATCAATGGTGCCTTCAATAACCACAAGCATTGGTATTATGCGTCGTAGTCGTAGACAGAGGACATGAGGACAGCACCAGTACTTGTACCACATCCCAAGCAAATTCCGGTCCACCCCATGATTGTATTCGGCTCGAGGACCACCACTGAGAAGACAAGGCCCAAGACGAATCCAAATCAAAATGCGGGCGGCACTGTGTCGAGAGCGCGCGAGGCCCAGAACTGACGACCAAGATGCAAGCGGCGCGGAGCACAATTTGAATCCCAAAATGCCGCACGGTGCAGTGGTGAGAGTGCGATGTCGCGAGCCGGAGAAGCATGGAACATCATGGAACTGTGGCGAGAGTGTGACTAGGCCACAAGCAGCAGTGCTTCCCCGAAAACCATGAAAAACGATGAAAAACACAACGGCCACAAAATGCGAATGGCCGTGAACGGCAATGTGGCGCGAGCAAGCTTCCCCACTTTAGAGCTGAGTAAGTTTTGCTTCGGATCTCCATGAAACCCCATTACCACACTGTTCGGGGGAATGACCTTATGACCGAGTTCACGAAGAGTCTGGTGTAACATTGAAGCCTGCAGAATGAATAAGACCATCACCAGCATCGTTCTTCGCTTCCAGATTGGCTATAAATGAGTCGTCAATCCATGCGGGTAAAGCTGAAGGCCGCGAGGCAGCCCCACGAGGCCACGGCCAGTGGCATGTCTGCTTCAGATCCAGAACATCAGAGCATCCATGAGGCTGCAGATGGTTACAAGGCTGCGTGTGTCACGATGCCGGTGTGGACAGGTCAAGCCCTGGCTCATCTCCGCGACGCTTTGGAGGGTGCGAGTGGCAGGAGATTGCACAGTACTAGGTACGACTAAGGCAAACGACTAGTCAGAACAAGTCGAGGATGTTTACGTCGAGGTCGCCAGGGCTCACGCCTGCAAGGGTCGGCGAAAGGAGAAGGGAAGGAAAGGAAAGAAGAAGCAAGAGCTTGAGGCTTCAATTTTTCTCATGAAGACTTCTGGATCGAGCAGTCTTGACGGAGCTCAGCACCGGCACTTGTACTGTACAGTGCTTGGCCCGTGTACTGCCACTGTACGGCCATCCCCGGTTGTGCTTGCGACTTTGTTTGTTACAACGCTGAAGGCACAAAGGTGATTGATGGTCGCGGCCGGTGAGTCTCAACCGTTGTCAGACAGGCAGCATCGAACCTTTCAACTGGACCCTTTATGAAGTCTCCTGTGTTGCCCTCCGAGCTTCTTTGTGGCTGAACTTGATAGTTGTGGTTGAAAGTCAGCTTTCTATCAGTGCAGCTGGCAGCTATTCAAAAACGATGGGCCATTGAATGAAGCAGGGGCAGCATGGTCTTCAAGGTTCCAAGCAGCTAAGTGTGGAAACCCTTTCACAAACCAGGATCCAGTAGAAGGGTGAATCAGAAGCTGCCCACGAATCTGCCTCAACTTCAAAACATCTCGAAACTATTGAGGAGCAGTTGAAGGCAAGGATTCCCGGCCAGATAGGAAGCAAGGTCAACACACTTTTCTCGAGCGGAACGGGACGCTAAGGATGCTAAGGCATGCTAAGGCAAGTCGTGCGCAGCAGCGAAATCGATAGCCATAGCTTCTTCGGTGGTAACGAGTGATGGAAACGTCCTATCGGATCGAAGAGGCCCTGGCTTCCTCTATCCGCACGAAACTTACGGATTTTTTTTTTGGGCAGATCGGCTGTGCATTTCCAGAATCGCAGCTATTTCATGCCAGTCCCCTCGGACGGCGGCCCCCGGGGCTGCTGAGCGATGTCTCGTCCATGCCTCGGTTCTAAGATGTATATAAGCTAATGTATTCGTGGGATGCGGCCGAAGCTGTGAGGAGGTGGAGGAATGACTGCCCAGCAGACACAATGACCAAAGGTCGGAGGACGGCGTTATGGTTGACTCTCCCCGGCAAGAGATGCTTCTCCTGCAGCAGGAGGCCCCTTGCAAAGGCAAACTGGCAAACTCGTAAGCCAGTCATGGGTCACCACGTCCAATGCGACTGTCCAGAGTTCACGTGGTTTATGCCTTTGTGCGTAGCAATATAGCAATAATATAGCAACATGCAGAGCTGCAGCATTTGATTTGGCTGCGGGATGCTGCGGGCTTGCAGCTCCGAGATTAGCAGCATGCCACGATGTACGTCAGGTGTCTACTGCTTTGCCCGGAAACCACCACGTGTTTGAGTTCCACTGCGCGTTGTCAGTTATCAGTGTTATTTCCTGGCACACATTGCCAACCTCTAGATTCCTACATCGATGATGGCAGCCGCAAGAAGAGCCCCTCGGATTTGCTGGCATGTTCCCAACATTTGCAGACTCGAATTGAAAGCTTTGCAGCTCAGGAGATCGATGACCGCCTTGGGCTCCCACAACTGCCACTGAGGGCTTATCCCATGCTGGTACCGAGCAACTCACATTTGACATCGTTTCTTGGCCAGGACGGGCCAGGAATCAGCCCGCAGTCTTGTTGGCATAATCGTGGTTTGCAGATGATCCAGTGCGCTCAGAGCTCCATTCCAGGAGCAGTCTGACGAAGCCCGTCAGCGGAGCCGTATGCTGGGAGCGTTGAGCCTGGAGGCTCAATCGGGCAGGGTTCCTCGCCGTTCAATCCACTTGGATACCTTTGCAATTGACACCAGTTAACATGCCAGGCAATGCTGTCTCTCTTTCCGTTGTGCTTGTACCTGGCAGGCACCGCGACGCTCTCAATGGTCAGACATAGAGGCCTCTTGGAACATCAGGGTGAACTTGCATCTGGACTCGTGGTTGGGAAATTATGCCTTTAAGTTTGTTGCATGACACACAGGTCACCGTTGACGTGTCCTGGTGGTCGGTGATGGTGGGGATGGGGAGAATATGGGAGGATGGTGGTCATGATGATACAGAAGTCCTGATGACGATGGCGGTGCTGATGGCAATAGAGGTGATGGTGAAGAAGATGAATGATGTTGGTGACGGTCTAGAGTCTAGACAATGATGATGAAGATGTAAGATGAACGTGATGATTGTCATCGCGGCGCAGATTTCGAATGCGATGCGTGTCGTGTTGCTGATGATGCTGGCTATGAGGAGATGAAGGAGGAGCCTGGTGGAGAAGAAGAAGGAGTGTGAGCGTGGGCGGGATGGCCCATCAGGAGCATCATCGGTTCTCCGCACCTCGCCAACAGGCAGAACAATTGCCCCCAAATGCTGCGCGTAATGCTGGATCCCGTTTGCCCAGACTTTGATGGGGGAGCTTCAAAACACGTTCAAGTACGCTCAACAGCCGGTATATGGTTTCGGCGGCACCCGGGCTCCGCAGTGATGCTTTCAGGAGGTGGGTTTGCACTGGCGCAACCCAGAAAGGCTGATGCTTTATGCATATAGACGGCGACGGCTAGTGAGCGGCCGGACTGGACCCGGCTACCTTAAAAACCTCGGGATCCATGGTTCCCTGTGCACCCGATCACTAGGCAAGCGTCGTGTTTACTGCCTCCTCCAGCTTCGCTTAGTTGTCATGGTATGTCATGGTTGGAGACGAAGAAGAGACCGCCCGCGCCGCACAAGTCGTCGAGCACATGGGCGACCTGAGCGACGACGGTCACTATGCTGCATGCATGGCTGCCAGGGACAATGCCTTTATGCTGGCAAAGGCAGCTTTGTCCAAGCAACCCGCAGCCCGAGCGTTACAACGGCACCGTCTCTGATTACAACCTCGCCTGCTCAGCAGACGATATGCCGACGATGCCGTTGAAGTAGATGTGGAAGCGGAAGCATGTGCCGAAGCAATCTCATAGGCAGGAGGCACTCCGGGGACCCGTCGTTCCGAAGTGTCAGTAGCAACTCTGTCTCTAGCTGAAGTCTGGCCGACGTATCGACCTGCTGCGCACTATGGGCGCTTTCCATTTGAGTACTTCGCACAGGGAATGACTCCGTTGTTGTTTTTATCCTTATCCTTCCGATTTCCTGTGCCGGTGGCCCTCCTGCTCGCTGGCAGATCCTTCGCCGCTTCTTCGGATTTCTTATTTTGCTATTCATATCCTCTGGTCCCTCACTGCCTGTGCTCACTCTGGTGGCAAACCTCCGTAGTAGCGCACCCGTCAAATTTGTCATGGCTTGCCTGACATGATCATAAGTTGAAAGATGTTGAAAGCAGCATTGTGCACGAGCCTACGTGCTGTCGTCGATCCACAACGCATGCTTGACACAGTTTGGCAGGGAGAGCTGATGACGGGGCGCCAGTGTTTGGCTTGTTTTCAACAGATTGCTCGAGGATCGGAGCATGCGAGCTTGCGCAGTCCGTTCGTGGAAGACACATTGGTTGGCATACTGTGACATACTGATAAAACAAGGCACATGTCTGCTTTAGCTCTTCACGCCAGGAACGGTCGAAGGAAGTGCCTCCTAGACCTGAGCGTTGACAAAAACACCGTCTGTCCATGCTCATCTTGCGGTTTTGTTTGCCGGCTCTCTGAAGATTGCGCAACGGAAGCAATTTACAGAATTGGTGCGCCCGAGGCTGGAGCGAAAGTGTTTGTTGAGAGTTCCCACCTCACGGTTGGCAAACGAAGCTCTCCCTTCTGCATTTCGTGCACCCCCAATGCCAAGGATGATAAACAGTTGTCGCAGCGTGAAACAGCATGTCACGTCCTTTTGTTTTTGTGCCCTGCAGGGGTTGCATTACGTTCAGCTCCTCGAGTTTGGCCGCCATTTGGAAGACGAACTTGATGATGGTGATGACGACGATAGCCAGGCACCTGCGCTGTACTGAGTCCTCGGGGTTTTTTGACTCCTCGATCCGGAGACACGGCGAGAAACACTGCGAATAGACAGTCTGTTCACGGGGGTTCCACTGGCTGAGCAATTAGAAAGACCAGGAAATATGTTTGTGCGGAGTGATACTTTATTTATATGGCGCTATTAACTTTAATGTGTCTTCGCGCGCTCTCGCGAGGATATTCCTGTTTCCAGGCCTTGTTCCGGCTTGCTCCGTGCACGTCAAGACACCGTTCGCTGCACCGCAGGAGCCCAGCTTCGCCAGTGACTCGACAGACGACGACCCTCTTTGGGACGACTTGGAAGGTGCTTCTGTTTTTCGTGGTTGTTTTGTGGGTACAGGTTGGTGACCATTGGTAGCCAGATGCTGGAATGCGTAGTGCGTAGTTCTCTGCAGCTTTCAGTGCTTCTCAACTTAGTTTCATAGCCGCGCGAGTTCATGAGTTGATGCGCCGATACACACCGCATCATACGTTCCAGTTGGTTCAACATGGACAGGTGGTCACACACTAGGAGTACAAAAATGCAAGTGCCTTGAAACCTGCAGGCCGTGCAGCCTCCGAGGCTGCATCTGAGGCTTCGAGCATTTCCTGGGATGATGATTTCAAGGTCATGTCGGAGAAGGTGGAAGACTGCTTGGCAGAAGGCCGGGTTTTCAGAGGTGACACAGCGAATGGTGAGCAGGCCCGGTGAGGAATACATAATGCTGATTTTGCAAGTCGCCCCATCTCAGGTCATCTAGCTTTGCCAGCTGAGAGTGCCGACCTGCCAGAGACAGCAGGCACATCAGCAAACTGGCGGAGTGAGCCAGGGCAGTGATTGCAGAGAAGCCTTCTTACTTTGTTTGCTGGGCATTCGTGGGACAGTTGCTGTACCTGTTTTTATTCATATGTGAACTTGACTCAGCGGCACCTGGCCGTGTTTTGCATTTCCGGCGCAGCATCCTAGATTTGGCACGCTCGTGTTGTCCAGTTTGCTCGTCGGCGATGCTTTCCGGACAGACAGGGGCTTCAGTGTACGTCATGTCGGATAATTTTTCGCTTGGGAGAGCGCTTGGGATTCCGCGACAAGTCGGTTGTACAGTAGTTAGGCCAAAGCTGTGGTGGGCTGACATTGACTTAGCAGAATGCGTTTCTCTATGTTCACCCGATGTTTATCGGCACTTTGGAGATTTCGGGAGGGTTTTCGATTGTTCACACCTTCCCTAGATTCCCTAGATTCATAGATATCTGTACCAAACCTCGAGAAGCTGTATTAGGATGGCATAGTGTAGCACGAAGGTGCTGCCAGCACAGGGCACACCAGGACGTGGTAGTCGTCACAGCACTTTCCAGAAAAGAAGCGCGGTAGAGTGTAATGATGCTTACATCACTTGGGGTTGGGCGAGGAGTGCGAGTCGAGTACTGGTCTCAAGCTCTTTATGCGCTGCGACCACAACTGATGTAGTGGCTGCACCTCTGCGATCAGGATATTGTGAAGTGCAGAAGGTCTGTAGCTGTCCGGAAGCAAGAGCCGACTGCGATTCTGCACGCACGCACCTCACGAGTTGATTTTCCATCTCGATGTGTAGAACTGGGACTGGGCTCATGATTTACTGTGCGCACGAGCACAGCCTGTCGGTGAGACATGAAGCTTTGGTGACGAGGAACTTGTCGAGAAGCCAACCTTACTATGATCGACCGGATGAAGAAGATGTTTGCCCTGTGTTGCATATTCTGAGGGGATTGGTGCAATCAGGTGATTCCAACCAGGATTGGTTCTTTGAAGACATCTCACCACGTTTGAAGGTTGGCAGGGGGAAGTGGGACGTTTCCTTCTCGGTCTCTGTCGTTCTGTGTCTCTCAAGTTGTGTGGGTGCTGAGTAGGGTGGGGAGGTGCAGTTGGCTGCAAGACATCGACGACGGTCTCATCCAGAACCAGATGTCAAGGCTCAGGGTCGCATTGGGCCGCTCAAGGCTCTCAAAGCTTGCAAAGCTCATGATGCTCGCTTGGCCAAGCATGCCTGGTGCAGTCATTGCATTGGTCTTGCATTCCATTTCACATTATACTTTAGACGAGTGCCCCTTCCTCCAGACAGAGGCTTCGAAGGTCTTTTGTTGCTTAGAATCCTAGAAGTTTCACCTGGGATTTCTGTTCGAGTACTCTACATTTTCTATCAGCAGAACGAAAAGACCGAACAGCTGCGTAGGCGTAGGAAGATTGGTGGGAGCATCTTCGGAATTCCTCCGGCGCATTCCTTGCCTTGCAACAAAGTGTGCTCACCGCCCAATCCTTTCCAGTGCATCAGACAGAAACCACTCTTGGGTCTGTCGTGACTGGGAAGGAACCGTTCAGATGAGTTTTGCTGGTGCACCATTGAGGCACCTACTGGTGATGCAGTATTCTAGTGGTTTGCATATGATCTACGCGCTGGACATGCTGCGCTGATGCCGTGAAATATTTACGAAGCTGTGGAAGTATGACTAAAGATACGGATGTGTACTGATTCTTGTACTGGTTGATGCAGCAAGATTCCTTCCCGACGTCTGTGCAGTCATGTGTGATTCAGCTTCCACACAGCTACGGCATGTCAGTGCCACAATTTCCAGTGTGCGGACGTCGCTTGATATGTCCGTTCACACGAACTCACACGCTCATTCAATTCGTGCTTTGCCCTGTATGTATACAGATTGCAAAACAATCGTTGAGTCTTGCCACTAAGCATACGGATTGCAGTCGTCTCGTCCCATGTTCAAGCTACATGCGAACTCTTGTCCGACATGGGCTCGAGATACGTCTCTCCGCATCACTATGCCGGGCAGTCCAAGCTTGTGACAATGACGGGCAATGCAGATTCGCCGTTTCCCTTGAAAGCTGGAGGCGGAGAATCAACTGCGACAAGCACCGTCAGGTAAATGCATCAGAAGCACAACAGTTCAAGAACAAAAGAGTTTTCCGACTAGCCATCGCAAGACGTCTTTCCAGCAAAGCCTCTGAGCTGGCCCGGCAGAGGATCTCCACCGCCAAGTCGTACAGATATTGGTCCCATAGGTATTCGGACGCAGGCAGATCAAGCTGCAATCGCTGAAAGCGTCGTTCCAGTCTCCATGTGCTTATTATGTGGCATGGCATTCTAGAGAACATCAACCAGAGACTACCACTTTTGACGTCGTGTTCTAGCGGGATCTGCAACGGGAGGATGTGGGTGAGGGAAATTGATTTGCTCAAGGGTGCCTTCACGAGCACGTGCGCACTCCTCTGACAAGGATGAAACAATTAGTAACTTTATTTAGTTCCAAAGGCAAATTTCGACCTGACGAAATCCGTGAAAGCAGTTTTTTGGTCGAGTGAGAGAGGATTGGCAAGTGCCTTCCAAACCTCATTGCAAGGTGGTCCTGGAGCTCTCGTTGAAAGAATACATGCAAGTCTACCCTCAGCTCCCCACAATGGTATACACACTGCGGGAAGCTTATATGAGAGGTTGGGAGCCACCGCACAAGCTCTTGGACCCTCCCTCCACGATACCAGCACTGCCTTGTTGGCATCGGCCGCTGGGCCAGAGGTGCGGCTACATACCCCGACACCCCAGCCGCATCCAAGTCAGCTCTGCATATTGTTTTTTTCGCGAAAACCCGGCACAGCAGGGACTTGACCAGCCTGTCCCTGAATCGTTGGAATCTTGTGTACTTGCGAGCGGCCCATAGGGCGAAGACTTGGCAAGGCACCTGCCTGGACCGGTGACAACAAGCGGGAGGCCCGAATGGATGGACATGATGGACCTATGAGCTCCTGTGCTTATTCGATGATAACGCAGTTGAGGATGCAGGCCACCTCTTCCGCAACATGGAGTTGACGGTACGAGTCTCGCATCAGTGCACGTGCAATCGGAGCGCAGGCCTATGCCAGCAGCTTCAGATTCCTCCACAGGCACATTCCAATCACCAACCACGGTCCAGTACTCCCAACCGGGGTTCACGGCCCTCAGGGACGGGCCCAAGCTCATGATCATCCAACACCTTGCCAACTCCCTAGGCCTGTCCTTCCTGTCGAAGGCCGTTTGGCGTTTTCACTTTCCTGTTTTGGGCGTTTCGGGCGGAGGTGTCGGCGTCCGCTGACCAGCAGCCAGTCGCTGTGCATCGCGTTGCACTTGCGCTTCCTTTCGCATCTGTTGCAATGTTTTGTGTTCCTCGTCCGGTTGTCAGTCCCGGTGGGGCTGCCTGTGGCAGCGTGCTGCATTGCTTTTCTGTCGTGAGACCCGAAGCTTGCAGCACCTTGTCGGCTTGGAGATGTCCTCATCTTTACGCACAGAGTAAGCAGTGTCGGCATACTGAGACACGACGAAAACATTTCTACTTCTGTGGGAGAGGCGACGTATCGCCCCCCCAGGCGCTGGATTGTTGCTGCAGTGCCTTTAGCAGTTTTCTCGCAGCAAAAGAGCACTCGACGCGCCATACGCGTGACTTTGTCGTTGTGTTCGGCCCTTCACTTAGACCTTTGGCCTGATGGCATATCGAAGGACTTGTCGTCTAGAAGTGGTGCTTCGGGCCTTAAAGTTCACCCGGAAAATCGCAGAGCAGCTGCACCAAATGAAGCAAGCTTGTGAAGCATGGCCAGGTCACGGCGGCTCTCCTGAGAGTCGACATTCTACAAATCCTGTGGTGGAGGATCTGGCCCAATACTTGTGCCTTGACAGCCATGCTGCCACGCACTGGCCGGGTAGTCCCTAGCCGCCCGAGCCAGATCCATTGGCTGGAAGCAACACCTTGGAGCGGCTACACTGGTCCTGGACCTTCACAGTCACAACCTCAATCATCCGTACACGCACAGTTTCTCAGAACCATTTCAAAGCGTTATCCCGCCTCCTGGCAGCGGAACGACATTTGCTCACGGAGGACTTTTGATCTAACGGACTCTCAGAGTCGATCAACTGGCCAAAGAGGTGCACCCTTGGCGTGTTGTTAATCCAATTTTCGCGGCTGATCAGCTGACCAGGTTGGTGGACCCCCGTGGGCATGGTTTTGTCGTGGAACCGTCTGCTTGTTGGGATAATTTTCTCTCTGGCTTTGTTGGCAGCGTAGCAGTGACCCAAAGGAAGGGTTAGATTGGACTGCCCCAAGAAACCTATACTGTAACTTGCCACATCCGTCCACCATGTTGTTTGGCAGGGAGCGCTATCCCACTCCGGCAGTGGCTCCGCCTGCCCCAAAGGTGGCCCACTCTCCGTGTGTGCCCGAGATGGGATAACATGGCCGTTCGCCCAAAGTTCTGTCTGGAGTGCCTGTGGATCAGGGCCTCGTTCACTCCAATGCACGGAAATTCCGGGCATAAATGGTGCGTGGTTTCTCACTTTTTGGGGAGCTACGCTGGCAAATGGTTCGGGAATGGCGAGACCTGTGCGGAGTTTCACGGTCCGTTAAGCACGATCTCTTTATGCGTTTTTTTCGCCGGAGCTGCTGCAGCCATTGGTGTTGTAGGTATTGTAGATACAGATCGTAGTTGTAAACAAATCAGCAACAAAAACGGGCATGAAAACGACATCTCCACCACGGTTGTTCTTGCAACCGAATGACCCCAAGCTTGCGTATACCTGAACATGTCGTATTAATCGCGTATGTGGTGAAGTCAACGAATATCAACGATTTCGATTTCACGCAACTGTAGCTTGACACCAGGGAAACCACGAGCGCACCGGCTTGGCAGATCTAATCTTGGACCAGTGCATGGTTGCCTTACGCCGCATGTTCAACCCGTGGAGCTGAACACAGCGCGTCGATCTGTCTGCCACGTTATGCGGCTTTGCACCGCATTTCGTAGCACCTTGAAACATGTGTCTGTATCCA